TTTTGGATAGACTAGGGATAGGTAAAAAAATCCCCCATCAGTTTACTTTTTGCTGTCTGTGTCCTTTTGGGGAGACTTTCTTTACGTCCTGTACCAGAGATACAACTGGACGTTGGGGAGACTTTCTTTACGTCCTGTACCAGAGATACAACTGGACGTTGGGGAGACTTTCTTTACGTCCTGTACCAGAGATACAACTGGACGTTGGGGAGACTTTCTTTACGTCCCGTACCAGAGATACAACTGGACGTTGGGGAGACTTTCTTTACGTCCCGTACCAGAGATGCAACTGGACGTTGGGGAGACTTTCTTTACGTCCCGTACCAGAGATGCAACTGGACGTTGGGGAGACTTTCTTTACGTCCCGTACCAGAGATACAACTGGACGTTGGGGAGACTTTCTTTACGTCCCGTACCAGAGATACAACTGGACGTTGGGGAGACTTTCTTTACGTCCTGTACCAGAGATGCAACTAGACGTTGGGAACTTAGATGTTCCATCACTTTCTCCCAGCCACAACGGTCACCAGGACAAAAGGATCCACGTGTACAAAGTCTAATGCAAGCGCCAAACAAAATGCCTTGCTGACTGCATCAAATAACTCATCCTGACAAGTTATACGGTAAAGTAGCTGCACTGCTCCAGTCCGTCCACCTCAATCCAACCTCGAATTCCACCTGAAGAGGTGCAGGTCCTGTTGACACCTTACATTTTTTTGGAAAAGTGGATGACCTCGCTCAATATTATGGATAATCGCAGGAGATTATTGGAAATAATCCATCAAAACACACATCTATGCAACACTTACAGAACATGAGCAGAGCTGATGCGTTTCGTGCTCCAGGCGTTTAGTCGTAATGAAATGCATCAATGCTGTTCCTGTCGGTGCTGTATAGGTGTCTGTTTTGATGGATTATTTCCAATATACTACTGCAATCTACTGCATATTTGAGTGCAGTCATCCACTTTTCCTTCCAAGTAACTTTGTCAAGTCCTCCAACCTGCACATGTAAACCCTTGAATCGCCATTCATTATGAATCGAAATTTGGGTAAAATTTTCATTATACGGACATTCGGATGTAATAGTAACGAATTTCAATTCATCCAAAATAAATTATAACAAAATGAATTATGCGAATTCAAATTTGAAAATGGAAACATATTGCAATAAATACAGTAATGTATAAAAGTAAAATACAGTGGTACCTCGGTTTACGAACGCTTCACTTACTGAAATTTTTGGTTTGCGAATGAAAATCCATTGAAAATAATGCCTCGGTTTATGAATTATTTTCACAATACAAAGCAAATTTCCCCAGGATGCATTGTGCCTGGGAGGTTTATAGCACCACCCCCATGCATGCTGGAGTCTGTGGGTAGTCTGTGGGTAGAACGTGGCATCGAGTGTGGCGGTGTTTTTCAATGCATTCCTATGGGAAACCGCGTTTCAGTTTACAAATTTTTCGCAATACGAAATGTCCCCGGAGAATGCATTAAATTCGTAAAACGAGGGACCACTGTAAGATGATGATTCCTACATAGGTTGCTTTATAGAATAGAACAGAATAGACTAGAAAAAATAGAATAGAATAGTATAGAAACGTATAGAATAGAAAAGAATAAAATAAAACCAAATCAAATAGAAAATAGAGGAATAGAAAAAGAATAGAATAGAACAAAATATAACAGAATAGAAAAGAACAGACTAGAAAATAGAGGAATAGAAAAGAATATATAAAAATAGAAAATAAAAGAATAGAATAGAATAAAATAGAATAGAAAAGAATAGAGTAGAAAATAGAGAAATAGAAATGAATATACAAAAATAGAAAATAAAAAATAGAATAAAATATAAAAATAGAAATAAATAGAATAGAAAAGAATAGACTGGAAAATAGAGGAATAGAAAAGAATATACAAAAATAGAAAAAAAAAGAATAGAATAAAAATATAAAAGAATAGAATAAAATAGAATAGAAAAGAATAGACTGGAAAATAGAGGAATAGAAAAGAAAAATAGATACAAAAAATAGAAAATAAAAGAATAGAATAAAAATAAAAGAAATAGAATAAAATAGAAAAGAAAAGAATAGACTAGAAAAAAGAGGAAAAGAAAAGAATATGCAAAAATAGAAAATAAAAGAATAGAATAGAATAAAATATAAAAGAATAGAATAAAATATAAAAGAATAGAATAAAAAAAAATAGAAAAGAATAGACTAGAAAATAGAGGAATAGAAAAGAATATACAAAAAAGAAAAAAAAAGAATAAATAAAATAAAAAAAAATAGAATAAAATAAAAAAAAAAAATAGAAAAAAAAAATGTAGGAATAGAAAAGAATATACAAAAGCAGAAAAAAAAGAAAGAAAAAAATAAAAAAAAGAATAAAATAAAAAAAAAAATAGAAGAAAGACTAGAAAATAGAAATAGAAAAGAATTTACAAAAAAGAAAAAAAAAAGAATAGAATAAAAAAAATAAAAAGAATAGAATAAAAATATAACAAATAGAAAAGAATAGACTAAAAATAGAGAGGAATAGAAAAGAATATACAAAAAAGAAAATAAAAGAATAGAATAGAATAAAAAAAATAAAAGAATAAATAAAATAGAATAGAAAAGAATAGACTGGAAAAAAGAGGAATAGAAAAGAAAAACAAAAAAAAAAAAAAAAAAGAAAGAGAAAAATAAAATATAAAAGAACAGAATAAAATATAACAGAATAAAAAATAAAAAAGAATAGACTAGAAAATAGAGGAATAGGAAAGAATTTACAAAAATAGAAAATAAAAGAATAGAATAGAATAAAATATAAAAGAAAGAATAAAATATAAAGAATAGAAAAGAATAGAAAAAAAAATAGAGGAATAGAAAAGAATATACAAAAAATAGAAAAAAAAAGAATAGAATAGAATAAAAAAAAAAAGAAAGAATAGAATAAAATAGAATAGAAAAGAATAGACTGGAAAATAGAGGAATAGACAAGAATATACAAAAATAGAAAATAAAAAAATAGAATAGAATAAAATAAAAAAATAGAATAAAATATAACAGAATAGAAAAGAATAGACTAGAAAATAAGGAAAAAAAAAATATGCAAAAAAAGAAAATAAAAGAATAGAATAAAATATAAAAAAAAAATAAAATAAAATAACAGAATAGAAAAGAATAGACTAGAAAATAGAAAAATAGAAAGAATTTACAAAAATAGAAAATAAAAGAATAGAATAGAATAAAATATAAAAGAATAGAATAAAATATAATAGAATAGAAAAGAATAGACTAGAAAATAGAGGAATAGAAAAGAAATATACAAAAATAGAAAATAAAAGAATAGAATAAAATATATGAGACTAGAATAGAAAAAAAAAATCAATAAATTAGAATAAAATAGAGCTAATATAGCCGTTTTCCCCAAATGCAAATTTGGAATTTTTACATTTGAATTTCTAAGTTGAATTTCAAACTGATTTGAAAATAATGAAATGAATCCGAATATACGAAACTAATCCGAATATACAAAATGAATTCGGAAAAAGATTTCTAAAATAAAGATGTTAATTCATTATTAAATATTTGATGGTTGAACTGGATGGACTTTTGTCTTTTTTTCAGCCAGACTAACTATGTAACTATGTAACTATATGACGAAATGAAATGATTAACTTAACGAATGAATCCGAAACAAAACAAATTTTTTCGTCTTGCACAATTCTAGTTTTCAATTAATATCAGTATATGGAACATCAAGATCCACTTTTAGACTTTGTACACATGTTCAGCTCTTGGATCCCTCCCAAGGACTATCCCGTTTTTGGTTGAGAGCAGCCTCATCAAATCTGAATTCTGAATCTGAGTCTCAGTTTGATAAGTTAAATCCAGTGCCTCTCTTACACTAATTTTGGACCAGGACCAATCAGGTGACCAGGGGCGGACTGTCCATTTGGGAACTCAGGCACTGCCCGAGGGCCTAGGGTCAGTAGGGGGCCTCATGAGATGCCCCTGGTACCTTTCATAGGCTCTTTTGGGTGTAGTTTGAGTGTGGGTGAGAACACAGGGGCCCCATGATCCCCTTTTGCCCAGGGGCCCCATGAGCTGTCAGTCCGCCCCTGCAGGTGAGTCTACGTTGTTGGGACACCGACAGCAAAGCAAGCAAAGTGGTGGTCCTAATCCACCCCTACTTCTTCCAAAACTGAAATCAACTTTTTGGCTGCACATTCTTTAAAAGAAAAAAAATTGCCCCAAAAAAAAATGCACAATTTTTTCAGAGAAACATTGTTGACTTAAATTGATACATTTATTACATCTGCGTCTTATGTCTATAGGTAGGCTAAGTGATATTTCACACTTTCTGAGAGTTGAATTGGGATGAACGAACAGAAATCCAACCTCGATGTTCTGCACCCCTCCCCCTGCTGAGACACAACAACAACAACAACAAAAACAGCAAAGCAATCCGATTCCCAACTGTTACAAACATAAAGCAAAACAAACTTCTTCAGGGTCTGTGTGATTTCGGCAGAGACGTCCCGCCCAGCCTGAGGCCTTTTTTTGGGGAAATGCATAACCCTAAGGCACTTTCCAGCCTGGCCTGAGCACCAATCCAGGCAGCATCTCAGCCCGCCAATGCTGTTCGGTTGGTTTTGTGATCTCTGGGACGCCTGCAATGGCCTAAACTGGAGTCAGCTGGGGCCTTGAAGGAGCTTATCAATGATGACGGGTTTCAAAATGGATTACGGCCATGCCGTAATGGCAGAGATCCCTGATCATGAGCTTTTTTTTTTTTGTCACACGGGTTTTAAGTGAATTTGAACCACGCTCAGTCTGGTGAAAACCGTTTTTGTAGCAATCCCAGAATTTTTTTCTTGGAAGCGGGCATCTCAAACGTTGCAGGGTTAGCTTCTAGTCCTTGGGAAACTAAGTAGCGGGCGCCCCCATGATAGGCCGCCAGTCTGCGCCATGAGGCCGGAGTAGAGTCAGTGTTTGGCGGGCAGCGCTGTCATGTCGCCCAAGACATGGCGGCGCTGTGTTCCTTGGCCTTCATCCTGAGTGCCGCGATGCTGGAGCTCTTGCGGTCGGGCTCAGTGTTCAAGTCGTACCCATTTATGCCAGGTGCCATGGCGGCGCTGCTGAAGAGCCCGCTCATGTGCGTCTGGCTGACGTGAGATCCGGGGCCTGGAACGCTGAGGAACTCCGAGACTCCCCCGGCCGAGTGCGGGTGGGTGTGCGGGGACATGCAGGAGGAGACGGTGTCGCACGGTACCACGCAGGCTGGAACTGGGGAACCTCCGCTGTTGTTTCCAATCCAGGACGGGTTCTGAATCTGGAGGAAAAAGAAAAAAGTGTAAGAAAAAAATTGGAAAAAAAGAGCTAAAACTGTTTTTTTTAATGCCCCCCCCCTTTAATGCCAAGCAGCTCTAACGCTGCCCATTCAAACCGCTTCCTGTGAGCCCAGGGCGTCAAGGACACGCCCCCTTGGGTGAGGCATCAAGGCTCTTTACTCAGAGGAGGATGCTGCAGAGAATGGCAGCATGTAATTCCAATTCGTCATTCTCTGAAGCATTCAAGACCAGCCCACCATCAGAGGAAGAAGAGGAGAAAGAGGACCCTTTGTGTCACATGACCAGACTGACAAAAAGAAAAAAAAAGGTATATAAGGTTTATTAATACATTTTTTTAACATAATGCAGGTGCTATGGATGGGGCGTGGTCAATAGTGCTTTTTAATCAAACCTACCAAGTGAAGGAGTTCCTTGGGGGATGGGGAAGGAAGCATGTAAACCCTGGAATTGGGCCACACCTACCAAGTGAAGGATTTCTTTGGGGGAGGGGGAAGGAAGCATGTAAACCCTGAAATTGGGCCACACCTTCCTAGTGAAGGAGTTCTTTGGGGGAGGGGGAAGGAAGCATTTAAACCCTGGAATTGGGCCACACCTACCAAGTGAGGGAGTTTCTTGGGGGGGGGGGGAAGGAAGCACTTAAACCCTAGAATTGGGACACACTCACCAAGTGAAGTAGTTCCTTGGGGGAGGGGGAAAAAGCACTTAAACCCTGGAATTGGGCCACACCTACCAAGTGAAGTAATTCCTTGGGGGAGGGGGAAGGAAGCATTTAAACCCTGGAATTGGGCCACACCTACCAAGTGAAGTAGTTCCTTAGGGGAAGGGGAAGGAAGCATTTAAACCCTGGAATTGGGCCACACGTACCAAGTGAGGGAGTTTCTTGGAGGAGGGGGAAGGAAGCACTTAAACCCTAGAATTGGGCCACACCTACCAAGTGAAGTAGTTCCTTGGGGGAGGGGGAAGGAAGCATGTAAACCCCGGGATTCGACCACACCTACCAAGTAAAGGAGTTCCTTGGGGGAGGGGGAAGGAAGAACTTAAACCCTGGAATTAGGACACACCTACAAAGTGAGAGAGTTCCTTGAGGAGGGGGAAGGAAGCACTTAAACCCTCGAAATGGACAACACCTACCAAGTGCAGGAGTTCCTTGGGGGAGGGGAAGGAAGCACTTCAATCCTGGAATTGGGCCACACCTGATAGCAGAGGAACGAGGCAGTAGAGAGAAATGACACTTTGTGCTCTGAATTGAGACGGGTACACACTATAGAGGGATATATACTGTATATATTTTTACATATATTTGTAAATAGATTCCAAAAATGTAGATTTGTATTTTCAAAGACATACAGTATATTTGAAATGTATTCTTAAAATATTTTTCATATGTTTTGTAATAAAAATGCATTTCAACATACAGTATATATTATATATATATATATACTGCATGTAATTGGGTCATGGGTTTGATTCCCGACCATGGCGCCTCCTGCATGGAGTTTGAATGTTCTCCCTGTGTTCACGTAGGTTTCCTCCAGGTGCTCCGGTTTCCTCCCTAAATAAAACCGCATTTCAACATGCAGTATATATATATATATATATATATATATATATATATATACACATATATATATATTTTTTTTTTTATTATTTATAATATATTTTGAAATATATTGAATATGGCCAAAATTGTAGTATTTCAAATATATTTTCCTTCCATATGGGATGTGCGCTGTCCTGCTAACTGCCTTCAGGTCACTCATCTCAGGGGGCAGCTTTGCACATGTGCAGACAGAGCAGGAAATTGTGCAGGGCGAGTGACTGCAGGAGCAAGGGGTCTGGTGCATGTGCAGACATGCTGCTGGGATCTGCCAGGTCCCAAAGACCCAGCAAAAATTCCCAGTGACATGTCTGCGCATGCGCCAGATAAGATTTCAAGATGGCGGCACTGGACAGGAGCAGTGTAGGGAGAACTTTCCACACAAGCAAGACAACGCTGAACTTCATGGACTAGTACGTTTGTTTTTTCTTGCTTTTCTACAGGGATTTGGGTGGAGCAGGGACGGACTGAGATCTCATGGGGCCCCAGGCAATAGGGGATCATGGGGCCACTGTTTCCTCACCCACATTCAAACCACACCCAAAAAAGCCTATGAAAGGTACTAGAGACATCTCATGGGGCCCCCTACTGACCCTGGGCCCTCAGGCACTGCCTGAGAGCCCGAATGGTCAGTCCGGCCCTGGGGCAGGGGCGGACCGACAACTCATGGGGGCCCCGGGCAATAGGGGATCATGGGGCCCAAACTCAAAAAATCCTATGAAAAAGGTACCAGGGGCATCCCATGGGGCCCCCTACTGACCCTGGGCCCTCGGGCAGTGCCTGAGCTTCCAAATGGTCAGTCCACCCCTGCCCTGAGGTGGAGTTCTTCTTTAAAGAGAGGGGGGGTGTTCTGTAGTGCTATTTAGGAGCAAGCAGCCTAGGACAGAAAGTGTGTTACTGGCAGGATCATCAGTGAAGGAGAAAAAAAGCCTGAAAAAGAAAACTAATGCAGCCACCACATCTAAGGAATGGTAATCTGCAACATATGACATTTTTGTTCTTGGGTTTAGATACATTTGTTCTTTTGATCCAGACATAAAAAAATAGAAAAAAAAGGTCTGCTTTCACAGCACATGATAAAAGATGAAGGATCACTAGTGGAGAACTGGAATATTAATGATGGCTGCCTAGACGTACTCCCTGTGGAATGCTGGGACTGCGCCATGTAATTCGTCAGTGACATCGGAAATCTAGAGGTAGCGTGCTCTGCCTGAGCCGCCAGCTTCGCCGTTACGCACATTATAGATGAGATCCTTCACCTTTGGGCTTATAACAGGAGCCCCTGAATTGCCTGACTCTGAATTATTTGTACAGGGGCTCGGAGGAAAGGGATATATGACAGCCGGGAGTAGTCAGGAAACATTCATCATACGTCCGACTTTAAAATCTAAATCCTCCTAAAGGGGGAAGTACAGTGCTGGTGATTTCAGTGGAAACACATTGTGAATTATTGTTGTACGTTGTGTTTCAAAATCATTTTTCATGCGGCTCACCTATTTGTATTTTCTTGCTCTTCTGTATCCACTTGCCCTCCAGTAGATTTTACCACCTTGATGACCAGGCCATTGTTTGCTATGCGGCACTGTGCTACTTTAACTGACAATTGCACAGTCATGCAACACTGTACCAGGGGCGGACTGACCATTTGGGCTCTCGGGCATTTCAATTTTCTTGCTCTTCTGTATCCACTTGCCCTCCGGAAGATTTTACCACCTTGATGACCAGGCTATTGTTTGCTATGCAGCACTGTGCTACTTTTAACTGACAATTGCACGGTCATGCAACACTGTACCAGGGGCGGACTGACCATTTGGGCACTCGGGCATTTCAATTTTCTTGCTCTTCTGTATCCACTTGCCCTCCGGAAGATTTTACCACCTTGATGACCAGGCCATTGTTTGCTATGCAGCACTGCGCTACTTTAACTGACAATTGCACGGTCATTCAACACTGTACCAAGGGTGGACTGACCATTCGGGCACTCAGGCACTGCCCGAGGGCCCGGAGTCAGTACAGGGCCCCATGAGATGCCCCTGATACCTTTCATAGGCGTTTTCATACTTTTTTTGGGTGTGGTTTGAGTGTGGGTGAGGACACAGGGGCCCCATGATCCCCTATTGCTGGGGGCCCCATGAGTTGTCAGTCTGCCCCTGCACTGTACCTAAATGAAATTTATATACTGTAATTTTTTTTCCCCACAAAAATAGAGCTTTCTTTTGGTGGTATTTGGCTCTGAGGAAGAGGTTGTGTCCTCGAAAATGCGTTAGACAGTTGGTCATCCAGGGTTCCATCGTATGGACTCAGATGTTGTTTGGATCATACATCTTGTTCAGTTTGACATGCCTGTGTTATTATATCCATTGTGAGTATGATACCTATTTTGTTTCTTCAATAAATTATTTTAAACAATAATTCACTAGGTCGGTGCGCCCTTTTTCTGTTCCTCCATTTGTATCCATTTGATCACCACCGGGGTTTTTAGTAAATAAACAAAAGAAGACAGAACATTTTGAAAAAACAAAAAAAAACAATATTTTTTTACTTTCTGCGATAAAACCTATCCAATAAAAAATTTTAAAAAATCTAATTTCTTCATAAATGTAGGCCAAAATGTATTCTGCTACATTTTTTTTGGTAAAAAAATAAAACAAAACAGTAAGTGTATATGACCTGGTTTGGGGGAAAGTTATAGTGTCTACAAACTATGATATACTGTATATACTGGAATTTGTTTTATTTTTATTTCATTTTATTTTTAGATTTTCAATTTTTTATTATTATTATTTTTAATATTATAATAATACAGTATTTATATAGCGCCAACAGTTTTTTTCATGCTAGTAATCAGCAACTGTGATAGAGTGGTGAGCAATCTGACACATCAATCTCCTAGATTGTAAGCTCTCAGGATCAGGCCCCTCCTATCCCTCTTGTATTGAACTGTATTGTTGCTGTATTGTCTCCCGTTATATTGTAAAGCGCTGAGCAAACTGTTGGCGCCATAAATCCTGTATAATAATATAAATCCTGTATAATAATAATAATAATAATAATAATATAAATCCTGTATAATAATAATAATAATAATATATAAATCCTGTATAATAATAATAATATAAATCCTGTATAATAATAATAATATATAAATCCTGTATAATAATAATAATAATATATAAATCCTGTATAATAATATAATAATAATAATATATAAATCCTGTATAATAATAATAATAATATATAAATCCTGTATAATAATAATAATAATATTATATAAATCCTGTATAATAATAATAATAATATATATAAATCCTGTATAATAATAATAATAACTAACATTGGGTGAGAACTGACTAACTGACATCTCCAGTGACAATAATACAGTGA